CTCCACTCCACTCCACTCCACTCCACTCCACTCCACTCCACTCCACTCCACTCCACTCTATTCTATCCCCAAAAGGGTCCCAAAATTGGGAGCGACTCATTTAAGAAACCGCCTTGCTTAGCAACAGAATTTCCAGTCACAAACATAGTCATAAGTCCAGGACTATCTGTATCTCACCCAGATCGTCAGAGGTTTGTCAATATCTCTGCCGTTGCTTCTGGTTGCCTATAGAAGTCAAGAGCTTTAATTGCAAAAATAAAATAAAATAAAAATCTTTCTCCTGTGTAGCCCATGACAACTCCTCCGTAAGGAGCTTTGTTTTTTTCTGGATATGTAACGTTTGTTGGATCCGTGAATGGCCTTTAATTCACAAACTCCACCAACTGCAACATGCTCAAGGTTGTGGATAATGGGGATGTGTTTACAACGCTCTCCATTCAGAGCAGGATCCAAGGTCAAACTGTTGGAATAATCATCATCTCAACCGAGGTCTGGCATTGTCGTTTCTCCAAGGCTAAGTACCTCGGATTACAAAGGGTTGTTGTTGACAGACGGCAGGGATGTCCAGATTTTTATGTACCTCATTAGTATGAGTAATCAGTAGTAAAGTAGTAAGTGTCAACTCGTAAAGCATTCCTGGCCTGCTCTCAAGTTGCCATCATGAATTAATTAGGGCCTCCGTCGGAACTCTTGACGGTAAGTTCTTGCTCAAATGTGAATGGTGTTCATGTTTAACCTCTGTAACCCTTGGTAAATACTTGGTGGGCATCTGGCCCTCAGGTCAAAAGGGTAGAAGGACAGGGACTCACTGTAACTTGCCATCTTTGATAAAACCACGAGCTGAAAACCCGGCACTGCCTGGGTGTTTATTTATCCCAACCCTCCTTCCGTGAATGTCGCCGCAGTTTCTAATGTTGGATTTTCCCCCTTACCAGAGGGAGCCCCCTTGTGGAGTACTGTGAAGCCGTTACCATGGCAACTCCACAGCGCTGTAGAGTAGAAGCCATTTTAAGGCAGTTCAATAGAAGCCATTTTAAGGCACAACAGGCTGTATCTTAACAGAAGACACACCATGAGGGGTATTAGGGGTGTCTTAACCCCCCCCCCCACAGTATTTGTTTCCAGAGGGTAAGTTGAAACTGCTTGAAATTGCTTGAGGCATTCCTCCTCCTCTTCCTGCCTCTCTTCCTCCTTCCTCCTCCTCTCCTTCCTTCTGTTCCTTCTTCTTCCTCCTCCTCCTTCTCTTCCTCTTCCTGTT